GGGGGCGCCCTGGGCAGGCGCGTATGGCAGGCCCCGCGCCGTGATCCCGGAGGGGCGAGAAAGGAGCACGCAGTTTGCACGAGTAAGTTAGTCGGGGGCCGAACTGGAACCCGGGAGGCGCCCGCCTGCAGCCGGATCGTCCCTGCCAGTTCCCCTTTCCCCGCACGCACGGGGTGGGGGGAAGGTCGGCCCCACCCGCTGAGCCCTGTTCTCCGCAGGTCCCGGGCCGATGTCCCAGGTGAGTGGCCAGCACCCTCCTCACTGCGACGCGCCCCATGAAGCCCCCAGCGCAGCCCCCGGCCCAGGTACGACCCCGGGTGCAGAGGGAGGCTGGACGGGAGCGGGTAGGGTGGCTCCGGGCTGGGGGTGTTAATTCTCCCCCCTCCTTCTCCCGGAGACACGAGGAGACTGTGTCGGGGAGCGTGGTGGAGGTGGGGGCGAGGGGTCTGGCTATCCGGGCGGGGGTCCAAAGAGTGGAGCGCCGAGGTGATGGGGGCAGGGCCCCAGCGCCGGCGGCGACGGTGCCAAGTTGGCTCTAATTCCCCTCCCTCCCAACACCAGACACACACACACACACGCACACGCACACACGACGCAGTCCGCCTGTCCGTCTGGGATTTGTGTCCCAACCGTTTCTTCCCAGTGTGTAAATATTTATGGGGGCCTCCGGCGGGGGTGGGGGTGTCTGAGCCTTTCTCCCCTTCCCTTCCCCCAACCCAACCAGAGCCCAACGCTTCCCGAAAACTTTTGTCTGCCTAAACCGGCCACAGGACCCGGCCCCTCCCCTTCTTGCCCTCGGCCTCGCTCCCCTTCCTCCCCACGGGGCCTGACCAGTCCCCGCCGCTCCCGCTCCTGCCCTGCTAGCACGCGGGGGCAACGCGACTCAACCGCACACACACACCCCTTTCTCTAGCTCACAGGGTCTGTCACCTCCCCAGGGCTCCTGCAGCAGCCTCCCTACCCACGGAGGGTTGGTGACTCCCGGAGGGTGGGAGCAGGGGCCGTGGCCCTCAGTCCCCCTCGTGGTGCAGAAGGGAGCGGAGGCTCGCTGTGGAACACAGGGTAGGAGAAGTCGGGAACTTGGGGGATTTGTTCATGGCGGAGGGCTGGCCGCAGGAATATAGGCCCCGATTTCACAACTTTAATTCCAGCTCTATGTGAGTCTAATTCGTTTGCCTTTTTCTCACCCCTCCCCCCCCTTCTCTCCCCTCTGAGCCTCTGAGTAATGACGGTCTGGTCCTGGACCTCTGACACAACTCCCTGCATGGCCTTGGACAAGTTCCTTCCCCACTCTGGCCTCAGTCTCCACATCCACCCACAGAGGCTGGTTTGCCTGTTTGGAGAGGCTTGTCTCAGCTCCCAGGTCTGCCTAGTGAGGCCGATGGCACTCTGGGCACCTGGGGCTATGGAGGTGGGAGGGGGGTCTCCTAAAGCAGAGCGAGGACTAGTGGGAGATTTCTGGCCAGGGGCCAGCACATGAATGACACTAATGTGTCTGCTGCTCACCCCCACTAATCCGCAGATTCCCTCCTCTCCGTGGGCCCCTGGAGCAGGGGCTTCTGGCTAATAAGCGCCTCCAAGAATTGGGCTCCTTCAGCCTGGAGGGAGCCAGAGGCAGGGGCTGGGAAGGCTTGCGCGGCATCTGGGAACCTTCTCTCTCCTCTCAGCTTCCCTCCTCTCTCAGCCCCCTGCTCCTCTTCTGTCCTCTCCCCTGCTTTCTTCCTCGGCTTATCTGTTTTCTCTGCTCCCTCCTCCAGTGCCTCTTTCCAAGATCCTCTCCCTGTGGGACCCATTCTCAGTCCCAAAGGGAAAGGAGGGACTAAATGTGCTGGGCAGGGGACGTGGGTCGGTGGACCCCTGGGAGGGTTAAACCCTGGGCTGTAACTTGAGGCCCCCAGCACCCCGGGGAGCCCCCTCCCCAGGCTGGGCTGAGCCAGACAATGTGGCTTTCATAGGAGGAGGCCTGGCTCTGCCACCTTGAGAGAATGAGGCTGCTGCCCAGGAAGCCCAAACCGCAGGAGACCCAGCCAAAACCCCACAGACGCCTGGATCCGAGACCAGAATCCCCCACGCTCCCTGCTGAGCCCTGATGGCACAGCAAGGCCACGGTGCTGCTCCCCCCC